TAAATGTTGTCACACCCATATCACTTATGTCTCACCTATCCTACTTGTCTGCCAACGGACCAGTTCACTTCCATGTACACGGTAAGAGCATACCATTTCGGGTGTGGGTCGGTAGTGTCATGGTCCTGCGCATTCCACTAAGGAAAGGGCCACTTGGAGGCTGTAAGCCTTCAGAAAACTGCATACAAATAGGCTCAGCTGAACTGGTGGTTTAAATCACCAGTTCATGCAAATCTAAGGGCATACTCACACTGGGACCTATAATCCCAAATTCCCCCCCAAAAAGGTAGAGGACCGGTTAGTCCTAAATGTACCATTCATGTGCCCATTTGTCAGCGGCTTGTGTAGCCACGGGGCAAGGGAATTTGCAGTCACCTCTGGAGGTGACTCAAATGCCCTCTTTATTTTTTCACATTTTCTTCGAGAATTGGTGAAAATTCGTTCACGAAAGTTCTTGCACAATTTGTGGATGGTGCCGTGTGACGAGCGAAGTACCAAATCACCATTGCTCCAGACGGGCAGGGCCTTGTCCCATCTGAAAAAGTACAGCAGCGCGACCCAAACCATGCCCAAAACCTCAAAACGGCCCTTCCCAAATCCGCGTATTTCGCGGATTTGGGGTCGCAGTGTGAATATGCCCTAAGTTCGTGAAGCTACCTTCCAAGGCTGGTGAGCCTGCAACTGCACCATTTTTTTTTTTTTTTTCCAAACAACACAAAGGCCCCGTCTGTTCTGGGGGGCAACAGTCCGGTTGCTTATCACTGGCAAGCATAGAGACTAAAGCTCCAGCAGAAGGTAGAAACAGAAAGGGAAGACCTTGCCCTTGCAGCCCTAGACGCATAACAAGCGGGTGTGGCCTGCCACATTCACTGCTGACCCGGGCCCAAAAAAAAATTAAACCTTACTGCATAAACCGGTAACAGCCGTACTCAGCTTAGGCTGAACTGGCGGTTTAGACCACCAGTACCTTCTCGGCCATCGATGCCGAGCATAAAATCTATTTTTTTTTTTTTGCTGGAAAGCGGGTCCAGCGTCCCTTATACAGACTGCAATTGGAATACAATAGATCGCGATTGTGGGGTCTACCAGCATTGATTACCCTGCTACCCAGGGGATTGACTGAGCAGGCCAAAAAAGACCTCTTCACCCTCAGGAGGAGGGCGCCAGAAAGACAGTAAAAGCTGGAACTATTTTAGCCTTGGTTCTACTCACTTCGAAACTTGCCGGAGGACGCAGACTGCTCAGAGACCTCAAGACTTCCTGCTCAAACAAAACAGACTAGCCTTGCTTCCCTCAGGTAAAGGACAAACACACCGACTTATGACTTATTGCAGCAAAAATAAAACCCAGCCTTGCTCAACCCAGCTGATTGTTAGCGGAAACAGGGCTCCCCGGGGGGCACAAGGGAGGGGCTCCATACGTGGAAGTTTTTTTTTTTTTTTGGATCAGGAAGGGATTTCTGAGAGGGAGAGGGCATGGGGTGGGAAGGGGTCAGGAAAGTCCGAGGGAGGCCGAAGCGGGAACGAGGGTTCTATGTGTGTCCAATCCTTGAAAACTAGACGATAATCTCTTATTTCATCCAAAACCTGTTGTCCCTCTCCCTTGTCTCCACTCCATTCCACTTTTGCGATCCATCCTTCTCTCTCCCCACCTACCCACTCTGTACAAAACGTTGTAATCTGTCTCCTAACATCGCCTCTTTGCTTAAAGAGATCTAACTGTGCTTTTGTGTTTATCCACCTTTGTGTAAGTTCAGAGTGCACCTGTTGTTGTATCTGCTCAGTAATCTCCGGCCCTTCTACTCTCACCTTCTCCATCGCCAGCGTGCATCTCTGCCACCAAAATGCCCATATCACCGCCCTCCTTCCAATTCTGAACATATTTTCTACAAAGGTTGTGGCCGTCCCCGCCAGTGGCCAATGGCCAGCCAATATGGCTTGCCAGGACCAGGGCCAGGGGACCGCAGGTACCATTTTTCTCCATATGCGATCCCACCATCTCCAAATAAACTGAGCAATCGAACATTGCATGAATATGTGTTCGATGGTTTCCGCCTTCTTGGAGAAAGGAAAAAGACTCTGGCACCTTTGACACCACGGGAGTATCCGACCTTGTTGTTCTAGATTGGTATGATCGGTCAACCAATCATTGGTTGGCAGACAACGGTGGATAATCTGCCATTGCAGGGAGGTGATTTTCATGGCTTTAGATTTTTGTTCATTGAACCATTTGATCGGTGACAAGAGGGAGCGGTCCACATTTAGGTGTCTAGCCCACCGATCGTTGATTGTGTCTTTCAACCTTCTTTTGGGTCTGAGCATCTTGTAGGTTGATTTGACCGACAGTTGGAATAGGCTGATCTGGCCTCCCCTCCTCTAGGGAAGTTTCCATGTCCATTCTGCTGGGTCCACGACCAGATCCTGGATTGGTTTAGTCGGCTAGAACGCCACCTTTTGTCCATTCTCTTCTAAGACTCTCACCCGGTATACTAATGTTTTCT